TGGTAGTGGGAAGGGGTGAAGAGGCCAGGAAATGGAGACCTGGGCTTCATCTCATCCAGAGGCCTGTGGAAAAATCAGGCTTTCTTTCACTACATAGGAACTAGTAAGAGGCAGTAAAGCTGAAGTATATTGACTCTTAGACATTTAAGAATTTGGAGGGGTGGGGGCACGCTCACAGCTGTTTGCAGTTGGCAGCTTCATTCAGAATTTCCATGTGGGCAGGCTGCGTGGGGCGGAGGTTCAGCATCATTCATTTGGGGCTGAGGAAGCTGCTGGGGGCATCCAGAGCCTCTTCTTTGCCCCTGCGGGTCGCGGGGTGCTGGGGTGCTGCCGAGCATGGGAAGGTGAGAAGGCGAGGGCGCGGCCCGCCTCGGGTCCCTCTGCGGAGAGGTGTGCCCGCTCTGTCCCCGTGGCCAGCCGCAGCTGGCGGAGCTGTGGATCCGTGGCTGGAAGATTCTTGCACATCAGTTAACCTGCTTAGTTGTTGGGAGTCGCTGGAGAGATCGTGAACTGAGCGCTTAACTTACATTTTCAAAATGAAATAAAAAACAGGACTTTTTGTATTTAATAATATAATCGTTTATTTTTACATCATTTTGGTGCCTTTTTCCATCTCAGTTGTAATCCCTATCCCCCACTCCACCCCCGTAAAATGTCTCTGGTATATAGTTGTTCATTATTGTTTATTGTTACTATTTTCTCCCCTGGTCCTTTATGCTCCTGCTCTGAGTGCAACCTTCCAGTATTTTTTCCTTTTCTTTCTGGCTTATCTCACTAAGCGTGATCCCTTCCAGCTCCATCCATGTTGCCGCAAAAGGCATGTGTTTATCTTTTTTGATTGCGGAGTAATATTCCATTGTGTATATGCACCGCATCTTTTTAATCCAGTCATCCACTTTTGGGCATTTGGGCTGTTTCCATGTCTTTCCTATTGTAAATAAAGCAGCAATAAACATGGAGTACAGGTGTCTTTTTGAATCAGTGTTTTTAGATAATGGATTTTTTTTAAGGCCAAAAAAATAATTTTCCTTGGTAAAATAAGAATGACAGTAATTTATCTATATGCTTATTAAAACTAAGTTATAATAATATAACCATCCTTCTGGTCATGATTGTACTCGATAATATTTAATAGTAAGTGATCCCAGGGAGATTGGGACCCTCCCACCCCAGCTCCCTTTACATAAAGAGGGACATGGCCCAGAAGAGCCAGTGCCCCAGGAAGCCCGCAGGACCAGACCATCGCCCTCACCTCCTTCCTGAGGTGGGGTTTGCCAGATGGGGTTCAGAGAGGTGCCTTTTCTTTTCTGCAGCCCTCTTCTTGGTCAGCTGTGAAATGGGCTGCTCTGGGGACACTCGCTTTTTCAGCCCCAGTTCTGGCTTGTTTTTGTGGGTTTTGGAAGCGGTGCCATGGTAAGTGTTTGGTTTTCACATTGGTGCCTGTGCCTGGGTCCATCAGACGCTAGAAGGCTTCTCTGGACTCTGCCTAGCCATGCCAAGCACCATTCCTGTGCTCGGAAGGACTGGCCTCGGCCGGCTGGTCAGGGTCCCTCCTGGTAGCTGGCCCAGGCAGAGCTGCGGGATGAGGCCGCCTCCCGCTACCAGCCGCAGCCCTGTCAGTTCACTGTGCTGCTAAATCACCTGTCTGTGCTGAAGATCCCTGGGTGTCTTGCTGGCCAGGGTGCGCTGGCTGCTACATTCTCACTGCACAGCCTCAGGCCTCCCTGGGGGAGGCTGGTGGGTGGGGCCGGTGAGGCGCTTCAGCTCTGCGCCCTCAAGTGATTACTTCTGCAAGGAAGCTTCTCTCTTGCCATGGCTGCCCTTTTGACAGTTTGGGGGTGCTCTTCCTTCCCATCCTATCTGCCCCTCACATTGCCTGCTTGGGGTTGTCATTTACTGAAGAGGAAGGAGTGAGCCCACTTCGAACCTCAGTCCCAGATGTCAAGAGTTGTCTCTTCCCATCTTCTGGGCACCCCTTTCCTGGGAGCAAATGGTCGCAAAAACCCGTAGTAAACCTTGGCGAGGACAGAGGCGCTGGGAAGCGTGGCGTGAAGCAGTGACACACTGAGCTGTGTCGCCCTGGGCGAGCTCCTGCCCGATCCATGACCTCCCACTTCCTCAATTAGAATGGAAAAAACTCAGAACCAGGCTTATTTCATTTTCACAAGTGGCCTTTTGGAGATGAGCTAATGGTAACCCTGAACTTCCACTGTGCCTTTCCTCGGCCTTCAGAGCAGCCTGGCACAGCACGGGTGTGGGTTTAGCACCCCCTCTTTAGGCTGGGCTTTGTGCTTTGAATTTTCTAATTGAGAAAGGATTGCATTGCCCAGAGGTGGGGTGGAGGTCTTGTCATTGGGGGGGCCTTTTTTTTTTTTTAAGATTTATTTATGCATACAAGAGCTGGGTGTGGGCCAGAAGTGTGGGGGTAAGAGGAGTCACCAGAGAGTGGGGAGATCAGGCAGATTGACAAAGTACACTGCTGAGGGGAGCAGCAGGGAGACAGGAGGGGTCTGCTGCCCCATGTGGGTCAGCTCCTGGCTGGGGATCACGCTCAAGTGGCTGCTGGTAGCTTCAGAGTGCCGAGAGTTAACCCCTTGCACCACCAGAGAGGCCTTGAAGAAAGCTTTTTATTTCTCTTTTATCATAATCTTTATCGTGCCAAATGCTTTTAAAGGAAAAAAATACCTATTTTCAGCACTGACCCAACCCACCTGTTCCTCTGTGCCACCACGCACCTGACCCCCAAACACACACACAAGCTCTTTTTCTGTTTTGAAACTAGTGAGACTGAAAGACACGTACTATTTGACTTTCAACAATATAAGCTACTTTTGAACTTATTATACAGAATAATCATTAAATACAATGTGTCTATTATGAGATACAATCATTATTAACAAACCAGTGGCTATTCAATATAGAATATCATTGATTGAAGTTAAGTTGCTTGATTCTCTGGACAAACATTACATTACCCAGGGAAAGAATTGAAATCTTGAAGGAAAAGAAAGTTTACATGTTCATTCTCCCACCTACGCCTCCTTTCACAAGTGTTCTCACATAAAACTATGCTTATTATAGCCTGAATGGACAATACCCAGGGTGGGCGGTTGAGAGGAACCCCTCACTTAACCATTGATAACTGTGGCGATAGTGACTTTGTGTATGGGGATAAAACGTGAGACTATGCCCCAGGCCTACCTGCTCCAGTAATTCTTCCCTCATCTCTTCTGGAGTGGAAAATACGGAGTGTCCAAGAAAGCATGTAGATGGCAAGGCAGAGAGATTTGAATTAAATAACTTCAAAGATACTCAACTTGCTTCAAGTCAGTTTATGAAGTGTGTCTTACAAATCGGTCCGAACTGACCACATCAGTCTTTCCGAGGTCTCCGTGTTGTTAACGACCTGTGAGCCTTGTGTTGCCCAGGAAAGCAGTGAAGGACACCCCACCTCAGCCTGGCGTTCTTCTCTCGTTGAAGCCTCATCTGTGTTGTCTGTTTCCAGTGTGGGCAGTTATTTTCTCTCCTAACTCTGGGTTGCAAGGGCTTTTCGCAAAAAGGTGCTTACAAGCTGGTTACTCCATAGAGGAGAGAATGTCAAGAATGTTGGTATCTCTAGTCCTCTGTTTCATGCTGAATAGCTAAGACACAAACTAATAACTTCTCCAGCACGCTGCTGGGCGTCAGGAACACTGCAGACTTGAGCACAGAAGTTGTCGGTGTGACTTGGACAGATGCCTGTCATGCAGCACCAGCTCCTTTAGGGCAGGCGGGTCTGAGGGTATTTTTCCTCTCAAGGGAATGGTGTGTTTATTTGCAACGGTATGCGCCATGATTGAAACACACCTTCTGATTTTTACTGTCTTTATTTCAGCACAGTAAAACTTGATTCTGGACAGGTTCCTAGTTACTGTTTCAGCTGCTGGGAATGTACGTTGGAAAGTTAGAAATGGGTATGGGGGAACCACATAATAGGGATTGCACCCCACGGTATCCACTTTTTAAAGGTTGCTGATATTCTCTGCCCTTAGTTTGCAGTTGTTACGGGAGGCAATTGGGGGGCTGTGGAGTCAGGAGTGAGGGTCCCTCTGCTCCGCAGACAGAACTCTTAAGCACTAAGTTCAGGCCTTGTAGATAAGCTCGAACATTCTAAACAGGGTGTGGGGGAGTGGAGCGATCTAAATTTAAACTATAGAATCAACATTTTCACTAAAAATTGTTCCAGCTTCCAAGAGGCGTAGGTGGGCCCTGTGGATTGTGTGATGGTGCACATGCTTTTCCTACTTCCTGCTCGTGTCAAAACATTTCCATTGATTTTTCTTGGGGGGTTATTTTAAGGCTGCAGATTGGGGGTCAGGGCTCTTTTATTTTCCTTTTTTTTTTTTAGTCTTTCATTTAAGGAATGCTAAGGGCTCTGGGGCTGACTTTTACTTTAATAAGATGAGAAGGTCAGGTGTTAGGTGAGCCCAAATGCTGCTCACCTTTGACCTGGAGTGACTTCTTTGCAAAATCAAAGACTTAGACACAATAATAAAGGGAAGTCATATATGATCATTCGGTCCCCTCAGAAACATCAAGGTCGGCATTATTATCATCTCCATGCTAAGAAGCATGAGTGAAGCTGCCAGTGACGTGTCCAGATTGGAAGCTGGCGGGGAGGGGAGCCCAGGGTTTTAACTCAAACCTGTCGCATTCAAAAGGCGAAGGTATTAGTACTGTGCTGTCCTTGAGTAACAAAAGTCACTTCTGTCTTTGAGTGGGGAAGATGTCCAGAGGCCTTGGCCACACAGCCCTCTTCCAGCTCATCCCAAGTGTCCGGCCTTCCCCAGGCCAGGCCAGGCCAGGCCAGGCGGCCCTGCTGGGCCCCTGCCCTCGCATGCAGGACAGCGGTGTCGGTGAGCTATGGCCACGCTGCGCACACACATCACGGAAATGCAGGCAATTCCGGGACGGTCAGCCCTGGCCGTCTGGGACTGCGGCTTTGGAGTGCCGTTCACTCACCACCTCACATTCCGGCAGGTTGGACGCGACAAGTACGAGCCCGCAGCCATGTCCGAGCACGGCAACAAGAAGAAGATGAAGAAGGAGAGGGACATGGATGAGCTGAAGAAGGAAGTGTCCATGGTGAGTGCTTTCTGCGCGCCTTCAAGACAGTGTGTGTGCGCGTGAGCCCGCCTCCTGCCCATTCCTGCCATCAGCTTCCATGGAAATTGTCACTTGAAAAGGTGGAAGCGTTGGTCAGTGCCCAGGTCCACATTAGGAACTGTGGGTGGCACCGGGGGCTTTGTTCTCTCTGTTTAGATCTCGGGGGACCTCCAGCTCTCCCAGACCTTGAGGGCTTCCCAGATGTGACCCAGAAGTTCCAGGTCACCAGGTTTAGCGGGACCTCCCTGAAAGCGGGGTCCTCTGCTGGGTGTGGCTGGAACCCCTGGCTCCCTCCCCCACCCCTGGCTGACAGCCACGTGCCCACTTCTGCACGGGCACTGAGCGAGTGACACTGCTTTCTCACAGGTCTCTGGTATGGCCCTGGGTTTAATTCCTTGTTTCTTTTCCCCACAGGATGACCACAAACTCAGCCTAGATGAACTTCATCGCAAGTATGGAACAGACCTGACCCGAGTATGTTCTCACTTGAACCTCAAGCACGACCTTATTTCTCCCTGTGGCATCTCCTCCACCCGTGTTAGGCTCAGCCTTGGGGGCCCTAGGGGAGAACAGGACAGTCACTTTCTTGGGTCTTCTCTGTGACAGGCACAGTGCCTGGGCCTGTTGGGTGGTTTTCAGATATTAAGTTTCCCCCTGAAACTTGCTGCAAGCAAGTATTATTTTCCCCATTTCGTGGCCCATGAGAGCCAGGCAGTGCCCAGGACTTGAAATTGAGGAGCTCCAAGACCTTGCTCATTCTCTGGCCTTTTGATTCTCTGGCCTTCCCTTTACTCAACATTTGTTACATAGAGGGGAACATTTCAACCAGCTGATTCTTTAACAATTCAAATGTGAGCACTTGTGCAATTCAAAAGTCAGCTCATTACTCCCATTTATGTGGAATTTGTTTGTTAGACAGTATACAGAAACCTTTCTGTAAATCATTGTCACCCAGGGATTTTGATGTTAAATTTATCCTAAACAATAGAAACGGAAAGAACCCGAGGCCAGGAGGACACTGTTGCTAGACACCTGGGAGTCTTGAGAGTCACTGAGACCCAGCTGATGTGGAGTCTTCGTTTTGCTAACGAGGAAGCTCTGAAAAGCCCAGAAGGGGCCTTGTCTCCCAGAGCAGGCTGTGACCTTGACTGAGTGACCTTGACTGAGCCAGCAGCTGTGTGTACTCACAGTAGCGACCTCCACAGGTCACCTGTCACGTTCTCTCACGTTTTTGCTTGACACGTTTGACGTGTGCTGTCACCAGGGTTAGCACTGTGGGCCTGTCTCCTTACTTGGAGAGTGGGGTTAGCCACACCCAAAAGGCTCGTGCTGAGACTCAGACGAAGCGCCGAGTCCAGTGTCTGGCAGGCGCCTCGCGTTAGAAGCTGTCGGGGACAGTTCCCGTCCTGTCCAGGGAGCACCGGTGGGCCAGGGCTGGGCACCCCCCGACCCCCACTTTCAGCTCATTTTTTTTCTTCCCCCATCCCCCACTCTCTAACTCCAAAATTAAAAAAAATCCCATGAACAAAAAGAAGGTATTAACAGACTCTTTGGGCAAACATGTGTTTCTTGTTTTGGGTTTTTTTTTTTTTTGACTTGGTATTTTGGTAGCTTGAAAAGTCACCACATTTTGCCGCCACCATTGGAAGACTTATGGCTGCTGTCTGCTGGCAGCAAATCTTTTTTTAAGGCCTGCTGCAAAGTAGCCCACGGCAGGCTTTGCAGGGAGCAGGTCTCCCTTGATAGCTCACTGGAGGGTCGCGACAGTGTGCACTGGAGTCCTTCCCCACCAGGCATTTGCCATCCCCAAATTAAAGGTTGACACTGGAAACTTGGCTGTTGCCCCAGTAACGGGTCACCATCCTACAGAGTTTTCCCTCCCCTGACACTGGCTCATAGGAAACTCCTAGCTCTTAATTTGCAGAACCAAATCAGTTAGTTAAAACAAGATTTTGGGTTAGAAATGCGATTTGACATGACCCCTTGCTTTAAACTTCGAGGAGACCAGCCTGGATTAGTTTGTCCAGGGATCAGTTTTTCAAGAACCTTAATCTGGGCATTATGGGTTCCCCCACGAAACGTGGGCTGTTGTTTGCCTGAACCTTGTGGGTGAGGATCCTCATCAGCGCCTGCCAGGTGTCCCCTGACGTGGCCTCTGGTGGCGCCTCCCTGGAGTCTTTGCAGCTGTCCGGCAGGTCTGGGAGCGGAGGCACCGGGGGCTCGTCTTACTCACCCTCCTCTCCTCTCCGCAGGGCTTATCAACTGCTCGTGCAGCCGAGATCCTCGCCCGAGACGGTCCCAACGCCCTTACTCCGCCTCCCACCACCCCCGAGTGGATCAAATTCTGTCGGCAACTGTTTGGGGGCTTCTCCATGCTGCTGTGGATTGGAGCGATTCTCTGTTTCTTGGCTTACAGTATCCAGGCTGCCACAGAAGAGGATCCTCAGAATGATAACGTGAGCCCTGATTTGGATTATTCAGTGTGCTAGGCGAGCCTCTCCGCCGTCTTTTCTGTTGCCAAGGCTTAACTTGATGGCTTTAGGCGCTGGGGGAGAGACTGAGGCACAGGCCCACCCCGTTCTTTTTCCTCCCCTCTCTCTCCCGTTGAGCTTCTCGCTCCACCTGCCACCGCGCAGGTGGCTGGCTGAGTGGCTCCGCTCGGCCCCCGCGGGGCCCACTCATGAGCTGGCCGGGCCCCGCCTTCAGTGTCGGCTCAGGCCCAGATGGGTTGGACAGCCTCTTCCAAATCACAAACTGTTTGGAAAACATCTTTGTCTTAACAAAGCGAGGGGACCCAAGTCGCTTGGGATGTTGCCAGGAATCCGTCGAGTGACGGCCCCGCTGTCTGACTCCTTCCTGGCCCTCCTGGACATGGTTTCCAGAGAGCGAAACACAGAGACGTGTTCTCTGGTCAAGCCTCCCCTTGGGGACAAGTCCACGTCGTAGCCGGGCGAGTGACGGGGTGTCCTGACTGTTCCCTTGCAGCTGTATCTCGGTGTGGTGCTGTCTGCTGTCGTCATCATAACTGGCTGCTTCTCTTACTATCAAGAGGCTAAAAGTTCCAAGATCATGGAATCCTTCAAAAACATGGTTCCTCAGGTACCTGTTGCTTTGTCTTCCCCTTCGTGAGACTCAAGAATGCCAGCTGGTGTTAGGATGTCCCAAGTGACCCAGAGACCCCACTGAGGTGATGGGCGTCTTCTCCCCCCTCCCAAGCCAGCTGTTGTTGCATTCTAGAGCGTGCCAGCCTTCCCCTGGAGTGGGCCCTGGGAGACAGGCTCGGGTACTGGGCGGCCCGTCTTGGCTCGCCCTCGAGCCAGCTCTTACAGCATGTCCCCGCGAGACACTCTCTTTATGATGGGCTCAGCTGGTGAGGCTCATCGATCACTCTGTCTTGGGGTGTTCACGCTAGCCTCCCCTCTGCTTGGGGCTTGTTTCCTCTGATGTAATGGTGTCCATGTGCCGCCCTCCCACAGCAAGCCCTGGTCATTCGAAATGGCGAAAAGCTGAGCATCAACGCAGAGGAAGTCGTCGTCGGGGACCTGGTGGAAGTGAAAGGCGGGGACCGGATCCCCGCTGATCTCCGGATCATCTCTGCAAACGGCTGTAAGGTAGGCATGGTCGACCCTGCCTCGGGCGGGCCGAGCTCACCGCGGGCTGCCAGCGCACTCATGGGGCACCGACTTTTCCCGTGACAGGTGGACAACTCCTCCCTCACCGGTGAATCGGAACCCCAGACCAGGTCTCCAGACTTCACTCATGAAAACCCCCTGGAGACGAGGAACATTGCCTTTTTCTCTACCAACTGCGTGGAAGGTAAGTCACTGATGTGCATGCAGGCTGTCCCCCGGCGTGGCCCGCATGGCATCTGTCCTGTCTGGGGCCGTGACAGCGGCAGCAAAGCCACAGGCATTCTCTCTCCGCCTTTTATTGGCTCCATGTCCGGCAGCTCATTCAGGCAGCACAGGAGTGGTCGCCGGCTGGCAGGGAGACCCCGGAAGCCCTGAGCTGCTTGCATCCACCCGCCCTCGGAGCCTACCACTGGGCGTGGCAGTGCTCACCGAGCAGGGTTGAGAGAGCTGTCCACTAATGGCTAGAAGGCCCTTGCCAAAGTCTGATTGAAAACAAGTCGCCCCTACCCTCAGAGCGCATGTTTAAGTCTTTTTAGATTGATTTATTTATGCAGACAGAGCTGGGGTACAGGCCAGAGCTGCAGGGGCGGTGAGAGGCTTCACCAGAGACAGAGCGGGGAGCAGAGCAGACAGATGGACAAAGCACACTGCTGAGGGAGCAGCAGGCGGGTCAGGAGAGGTCTGCCGCGCCCTGTGGGGTCACCTCCCGAATGGGGAGCAAACTTGCCCTGAAGCAGCTGTGCTGGCTTGCAGTGCTGTGTCCTAACCCATTGCGCCCTCAGGGAAAACCTAGTGTCTTTGAACCACGCCAGGTAACAGCGCATCAGTGGCCCCTTAGTAAGGTGGGGTGCGGCTCCCTCTTCCCTCGCAGGCACTGCGCGCGGGATTGTGGTGTACACCGGGGACCGCACCGTGATGGGGAGAATCGCCACGCTGGCTTCCGGGCTGGAAGGGGGCCAGACGCCCATTGCTGCAGAAATCGAGCACTTCATCCACCTCATCACGGGCGTGGCTGTGTTCCTGGGTGTGTCCTTCTTCATCCTGTCCCTCATCCTGGAGTACACCTGGCTGGAGGCCGTCATCTTCCTCATCGGCATCATTGTCGCCAATGTGCCAGAAGGGCTGCTGGCTACTGTCACGGTGAGGGACCCGGGGGCGGGGACGCTGCTTCCCCTCACATCAGCCGCAGGAGTTGGGGACACATCCCCCACCCCCACCCCGGGGGTCACCAGCTTGGGTTCTGTCGCCCGTGTCAGAACCACAGGGCTGAGTTAGACAGTGAGAAGAACGGGATGTGCTTTTCTATGGAAGATAGTGACCCTGAGGCATAAACTTTGTTCTTAAATTATCCCACAATCCAGAACTCTGTCATGGAAAAGGAGAAATTGGGACTGAGTGGAGGAGGGTGAATGTGGGAAATCCCGATGGCCGTTTTTCCTTCAGCCTTCAGGGGACCCTGGGAGAGGTTTGGTGGGCCGATGTCTGGTGGGCGAGGGGCAGAGCATGGCTGTTAGACTGCGCCTGGCCGCGCTCGAGTGACCTCGTGTTGCAGGTGTGCCTGACCCTCACCGCCAAGCGCATGGCCAGGAAAAACTGCTTGGTGAAGAACCTGGAAGCGGTGGAGACCTTGGGCTCCACGTCCACTATCTGCTCGGATAAAACTGGAACTCTCACTCAGAACCGGATGACAGTGGCCCACATGTGGTTTGACAATCAAATCCACGAAGCGGACACCACAGAGAACCAGAGCGGTAAGGCGGCAGGCCGGGTGCGACCTTTCCGCTTAAAGCTCAGGGCAGGTTTATCTGTCTCGTGGGTAAAGAATCAAGTGTTAGTTTCAGGTTGGGGGGGGGGGGTTGCGCTTGTCCATAGAAAAATGAATTTGCCCCGCCCTAGGCCTAAAGCCTGAATAGTCTCACTCACTGGGGAAGGGGAGGCATCGTTTCATGTTTTTAGGGGACTGTTTTCTTGCCTCCGTCAGGTGTCTCTTTTGACAAAACTTCAGCCACCTGGATTGCCCTGTCCAGAATCGCAGGTCTCTGTAACCGGGCCGTGTTCCAGGCAAACCAGGACAATCTGCCTATTCTTAAGGTATGTCGGGAGGGGCCGTTCCTTTGGCAGCACGCAGACCCCACACGCGGACGTTCTGGCGTGAGCTGTAGCGGCACTAAGCGTGGCCAGCGGGATGGCGGGTGCTCTTCTGCCATGTGAACCCCCGAGCCCGCGGGTAGAGTGCTCCCGGGAACTCGGGGCGCCTAGAGGTTGGATAAAGGGGAGCATACAGAAAACACTGACCAGAGGCAGGTGGGGAGGTTTTATTGGCCAACCCGAAGGTATAATAATACCCAGTTCTGCTGCTCTGTCTGGATGGGGGTGACCGCTGGCACGACCGCCCCGGCCACTTTGGTGACTTGACCACAGTTTTCTATTCGGATGCAGTCCGTTCCAGGAAATCCCTTAAGCATGTGTTCTCTTAAAATAGCTCAGCTATTTTATCTTATCTCACTTGTCCTTAGCTTGCTCACTAATGATGCAAAAATAAGCTCAGCTTCGTGGAATTCTCATGAAATTTGACATGATTGAGCCTTCACCGCGCTGCACGAGGGGCTGCCGTCTGGGAGGTCAGGACGTAGGGGAAAGGACAGCTGAGCCAGTCGCTGAGCGGCTTGTTCTCAGCGAGGCCACCTGTGGTAGTTCTGGGTCGAAACGAGTTGTCGGAGAGAACGTGACTTCTGTGGAATGGCGTGGCTTCTGCTGTGCGGTGGACTCTGTCTGAGATGTTCTTGGCGTTGCGTGCGTGTTGATTCAAGGAGCTTGTTGTTTATCTTGGGGTAGGAATTGAGATGCCTGCTTCCTACTGTGTCCTTCCAAAGTGGGAGTTCTCTGGTCTGTGAGCACAGGGGCTCCTAAGTGTCGGACCTTCCTGGGGTGAAAACCAGGAAGGTAGCCTGAGCTGTGCTTCTTAGCATTTCAGGGCTCAGGATCATCTCGAGTGCACTATTGCCGTGGGGTCTGTCCCACAGAACACAAGTGCGTGTTCTGCACGTGGGGCTCTCCCTGCAGCAAGTGCGAGCTGATTCTGCTATGTTGGCAACCTTCAGCACAGATCTTCCTGCACAGCTCAGTCAGTTCAGGCTGTCAAGCCTCATGGCCCGTGACACAGTTTGCCTCCAGCCGTGAGAACCGTAGGCATTTCTTTCTACTTACAGGGCAGAGAGGAGAGCACTCCAGATGTTTACTTTCTCATTTGATAGTGTCAGGTTGTAACCAGAAATAGGTGGCTGGGAGTCATGTTGACTTAGGGTCTTTGCAACAGGCCAGTGGGAGAGAAAAGTAAAGTAGGCAGAAGGGGGTGGGAGGTTGGGGGTGCCCCAGACTCAGCGGCACCTTCACAAGCCCTTGTTACACGGAAGCCGGATTCTGGGGTAGGGCAGGGGGCTGTGCCGGACCCACGGGAACCCTGTGTCTGTGGTCACCCAACGAGGCTGCTTCGCGCCTGCTCATTGGAGCGTTTCCGGTAATTAACACTGAGTCTTCTTGCAGCGGGCTGTGGCCGGGGACGCCTCTGAGTCTGCGCTGCTGAAATGCATCGAGGTGTGCTGTGGCTCCGTGAAGGAGATGAGGGAAAGATACACCAAGCTCGTGGAGATCCCCTTCAACTCCACCAACAAGTACCAGGTCTGGGGGATCTCGGCAGGGTGGGGCGGCGGGCGGGCAGGCCACAGCATCTGCAGGAAGAACTGCCCTCCCTCGGGGGTGGGGCAGGCTTAAAGCTGCCTAAGAACAAGGCCAAAGCTCTTAGGAACGCTTTAAATAGGACCCTTGGCTGCAGATAGGAAATCCAACTCCCTGGGATTGCATCAGGGTAACTGACACCTAATGTCGGGACCCCCTCGAACACAGACTTGGATTTGGAGCAGATGTGTTTGGGGAAGCATACGTGGGCGCCAGCCCCCACAGCCCCCCAGTTTTCTCCAGGAAAACTGGGCTTTGGGAGTACCTCACCCTGCCTCTTCTCTGTAGCTGCCCCGGCCTGTCACCAGGTAGGAGCTAGCAGGCCTAGTTTTGGTTTTTCCCGTAACCGACGCAGCCGGTCAGTGAGCTTTGGCGGCGAGGATCCCGCCCAGCCTTCACACGTGAACCTTCTTTACAGTTGTCCATCCACAAGAACCCCAACACCAACGAGCCCCGCCACCTGCTGGTGATGAAAGGCGCCCCCGAGAGGATCCTGGACCGCTGCAGCTCCATCCTCCTGCAGGGCAAGGAGCAGCCCCTGGACGAGGAGCTGAAGGACGCCTTCCAGAACGCCTACCTGGAGCTGGGCGGCCTCGGGGAGCGCGTGCTCGGTAGGTGCGGGCGAGCGGGCAGTCTCCACCGCCCCCCTGCTCCCCCTGGCTCCCGCTAACCTCCTGCAGCCCTGGAGCCACCTCCGCTGTTTGCCTCCTGTTGTTTTGCAAAAACAGTAGGTGTTGGAGAAAAGTTCAAGTTCTCAGGCTTTGGGCAACAAAGCTCCTGCTGGTTTGCTTCTGACTTGGACGTAAACCTTTGGCTTCGTGCTGGTCAGTTCTGTTTGCTTAAAGAAAATGGGGAGAAAAGAGCTTTATTACAGTCCCCCCTTTGGGGCTCTGTCCACGATCAGTAAAGTGGATGAAATTAATTCCTGGCGCGGCGAGACCAAAGCCATTTCCTGACCCCCACGGAATGGCTGTGAATTTACATGGGAACTTAGGCCAAAGCAAACAGAGGGCCCAGGAGGCCCTCCGGCCCTGCCGCTCCGTCAGCCTCTGGGCGGAGGGGACGGTACCTGCTGTCTGCCCGGGAGAGTGGCACCCACTCATCTGTGGGCTGACAGATTCACACGCAAGGTCTGTAGCTCCCCTCACCCCACGCAAAACTTGGAGCGGTCACCCGGCCCCACGGCCTGCTTCCTCCCTGCCCCCTCGGACACCAGGTGTCTGTCTTACCCAGCTGGCAGGTCGCTTAAGTATCTCTTTGCTTCTGTTTTGGGGTGGAAAAACAGTCTCACCTATGAGACCCTGGCGCTTCATCCCACTGTGGAGTGCGTGGTAAGCCTTCCCAGAGCACTGGCGGAGAGGTCCTGCTGGCGCCATCTCGCACCGAGGAGGCTCCAGCGGAGAAGCCGGGCACCTGTGTCCGAGCTGCGTTTACCTCCCAGCCGCGGGCCCCGTGGCCCGTGTTGATGCTCCGTACTGTATTTCGGTCCAGTGAACCGGCAGAGATGTGGCCTTGATTTCCCAGAGAGAAGCCGAGACCCATAATTTCATGATTTGCCAAATCCGAGCAGCAGAGTGGGCCGGTCTGGAACCGGATCTTGGTGCTTGTCATCCTCAGGGCTCCTCCGCGTTAAGCACTTTCCCTCCCTTTGAGGTCTGTGGTGACCTCTGCCCTCTGTGGTCTCTTCCCCCTCCCGCCCTCTCCCTCGTGATTGTCACCATCATCGAGGCCTGTTTGTTCCAAAGCCGGACCTCAGTGCCAAACCAGCCTGCCAGGGAAGGGTCGACGGCGAATCGAGCTGTCTCTGCGCCTCACAGCCCCCTGCCTCCCCGCAGGCTTCTGCCACCTCCTCCTGCCCGATGAGCAGTTCCCCGAAGGCTTCCAGTTCGACACCGATGAGATCAACTTCCCCGTGGATAACCTCTGCTTCGTCGGGCTCATCTCCATGATCGACCCGCCTCGGGCTGCCGTCCCCGACGCCGTGGGCAAATGCCGGAGTGCCGGGATTAAGGTAGCGCCCCGGCCCCCGCCTTCACGGGGCCAGCTGGTCTTCTCACCTGGGGCACCTCCGAAGCTTCAGTCAACCTCTAGAGAAGACCGCGTACTATTAAAAAGTTGACATGTACATAGCAAATGAGGGAATGAGAAAACACTTTTTGAAAAACATAAGTGGGTTAAAAGAGCAGAAGAATTTCAATTTGGAAACTCTGGCCTTGCCCTAATCAGCTGCACGCAGTTCCGGCCGCGCCTGCTCCCCGTCCCCCGGTTTCTCCCCAGTGTCTGGGGCTCGGCGCTGCTTCCTGCAGGGTGCATCCCAGCCGGCTGCGGCCCCCAGCCTCCGGCCCTCGCGATTCTTTGTTCCTGCTCGTTTCAGTGGCTTTATGTGACCGTGAAAAAAGACACGGGTGTTGTCTCACCTGTGCAGTCATGTACCAAGATCCAGTCTGGGACAGGCTTGGTGCCTGCTTTCTTGGGAGACGTGTTTGTGTTTTGGCTAGCAGATGTTCTTCCCTTCTGATGGTCCCAGCTCACTCATCCTTAACATTCACCTCCTGTGCAGGGAAGACTTTGTAAGGTCACTCATGACATTGTCCCGCTCCATGTTGCAGGTCATCATGGTCACTGGTGACCATCCCATCACAGCCAAAGCCATCGCCAAAGGCGTGGGCATCATCTCAGAAGGCAACGAGACCGTTGAGGACATCGCTGCCCGTCTCAACATCCCAGTGAGCCAGGTGAACCCCAGGTGAGGCGGGAAGCCCAGAGCACGGCCCCCGTGACGGGCGGCGACAAGGGACCTGGCTGGGTTGCATAAGGCTCTTGTAGGCTCGCTTCTAGTGTGCTGACTGTCCTGGGACGGGTACAGTAACCTGTTGAAGTGAGTATCGCTCCTGCTTTGCAGAGCAGGACACTGAGGCTCCCTCAGTAGGTCTCTGTAGCAGTTTAGAGCCCCCAGCGCCTCCCTGTGGGTGCAGACCCCCCTGGGGAGAAGGCCAGTGCCTGGCCAGGAGTAGGGGCATTGTCTGAGCTGCTCTAGCGTGACTTGGGCTCGCCCCGCACTGCCTGGGCTGAGGAGGGCATCGTCTTGAGCTGGAGAGAGCCCGTTGCATGAACTCGGACTCCCGATTCCTGCCGGTAACCTCCAGGTGCTGTGGCTTGGCTCCCAGTTGAGGTCCACACGGATGAGTAAAATGGGAGAGGACAATTAGCCAGGTAGCTCAGGCCCCAGGAGGAGTACTCGGCAATAAAGCAGAATAGGTCAGGGGCCATTTCGGTTGCGATCTCTTGTGAGGTTTAGGGTGTCTCTCCCCCATTGTGGCGGGAGGAGGGGAAGGGTCCATCTCTTCAGCTCTGCTGTCTCAAATCCTGGCCAGGTTCTCTTGGCCCAGCCATGGTGGTGGTGAGTTCTGGTTGGGGTAGGAAAGTACTTGGTGACCGGTATGCAGGGAGGCGCCCGGCTGGGGCTGGCGTAGCCCATCATCCCCTCTGGCTCGCCCTAGAGACGCCAAGGCCTGCGTGGTCCACGGGAGTGACCTGAAGGACATGACCGCGGAGCAGCTGGATGACATCCTCAAGTACCACACGGAGATCGTGTTCGCCCGGACCTCTCCGCAGCAGAAGCTCATCATTGTGGAGGGCTGCCAGAGGCAGGTCAGCGCGGGCAGCCTCCTCGGGCGAGCGGGCGCTGCGGGCCTCAGTCGCCACGGTCCCGGGGTCCACCAGGACACCCCCACCTGCTGTCTCGCCGCCCAGAGGGCCAGCAGGGCCATTCGACGAGGGCTGAGCAGACGCAGCCAGGCGGGGTCGGGCCTCGGCACCTGCGCCGAGCCGCCTACCTTAAAGACCTGGGGGCTGCGGAAAGCGAGGGGCTGCCCCCGGGGGCCGGACCCAGCGGGTCTCACCACGCCTCGGCTGTTGGCCAGCGGCTGGGGCTGTTGCCCAAGGAGTTCCAGCGGCAGCGTGCTCTCGTGGGAGGCGGTGGGGTGCCTTGCCTCCCCCCACCCCCCGGGGCCTGGGTTCCCACTGCCCTGCCCCCTTCCCGTAGGGCGCCATCGTGGCTGTCACCGGCGACGGTGTGAACGACTCCCCCGCCCTGAAGAAGGCGGACATCGGGGTCGCCATGGGGATCGCGGGCTCCGACGTGTCCAAGCAAGCTGCTGACATGATCCTCCTGGATGACAACTTTGCCTCCATTGTGACTGGGGTGGAGGAAGGTGAGGGCCGCATGGACACCGTCCCCAGGCCCCCGCAGCTGTTTCTGCGCCTTTCAGTCTCCGAGTCACTCATCACCTGCTTTCTTTCCAGGTCGTCTGATCTTTGATAACTTGAAGAAATCCATCGCCTACACCCTCACCAGCAACATCCCGGAGATCACCCCCTTCCTGATATTTATTATTGCAAACATTCCACTCCCCCTGGGCACCGTCACCATCCTCTGCATTGACTTGGGCACAGACATGGTGAGCACCCCACATCGCGGGTCGCGGTTAAGGAGCTTCGAGGCAACCGCCAGGTCCCACTTTGTTTTATGATGAGCGCTGTAATGATTCAGCCAGCCGGTTTTAAGGCGGGCGAGGATTTTCTAAGGCGCCGCCTGTCAGCTCTCTGGGGCTTGGTAACGGACGCCCCCCGCCCCTCCTCCCAGGTTCCTGCCATCTCCCTGGCTTACGAGCAAGCTGAGAGCGACATCATGAAGAGGCAGCCCAGGAACCCCAAGACGGACAAGCTTGTGAATGAGCGTCTGATCAGCATGGCCTATGGGCAGATAGGTGAGTGCTTCACGCAGGCGGCGCCGTAACTGGTGATGGCGGCGTCCAGCCGAGGTGGACTCCTGGGACTCGCATCCAGAGCAGGGTGAGCCGAGACTTGGCTGGAGGTTCTCAGACGCTGTGCCAGGAGAAGCCTTTGCTGGCTGCCATTGGTTTGTGGAAACTATAGTTCTTTAGTTCTTGCAGGTGGCTCTCCCCCACACACACAGTCACTCAGACTTGGGGGTTCTGCCAGCAGGTCCCCATGGGGCGACCCCTCCTACCTGTGGACTGTGGCTAGCCAGCGGGCTTCCGAGAGGTGGGGAGTGGTCAGGACGCCCCAGGTTCCGAGTCCTGCTATGTCCCTCAGAAGCACCTGGCTCCTCCATCCGTCAGCCCTGGGTGTTGGGGTGAAAGGGGGAGCAGGTGACATCATGAGCACGGTGGCCAGCTTCACTGGCGGCACAGCCACGCCTGGGCATTTCTGGCTGAGTCAGTATGTGCTGGCTTTGAAAAGAAGGAAGCCTGAGTCTGGGGCGGGGGCTGACGCCCTGCACTGGGGAGTTGGGGAGTGGGACGATGGTTCTGGGCAGACATCCTGAAGCTGGGGGGCTTTCATTATTGCCCCCCCCCCAATGACTGGCAGCAGAGCAGTGGGTAGAGTCAGGAGATGCATCTGCCCTGAGGTGTGCCTTGGTGGAAGCAGGTGAAGTCACGGGTGGGTGGCTCAGATCAAAGCCCCATGGGTGTTCTCCTTTTTGAACTCTAAAAAGGTGAGTCAAAGCTCAGCGGTCTCATGGACTCTGGGTCCCCGGGGGCCCCTGTCCCAGCATCTCAGCCTGTGCTCCCTGGGTCTCTCCCCGCCAGGGGTATCAAGGACCCCCTTGGGCGCCTCCGGGCACTGCAGGGATCAGGAATTTGCACAGACACCCTCCTGCCACGCTCCAGCATTCCAGTTCCATTTCCTCCCCCTTAGGTATGATCCAGGCCCTGGGTGGCTTCTTCACTTACTTCGTGATTCTGGCCGAGAACGGCTTCCTCCCGACGGGCCTGCTGGGCATCCGCGTAGACTGGGATGACCGCTGGGTCAACGACGTGGAGGACAGCTACGGGCAGCAGTGGGTGAGTGCAGGCCCGACAGGCCCAGCGCCCGCTCCCCCCAAGCCCGCGCGGCCACCTGCCCGCCCTCCCCCCCAACAGAGCCGGGCTCACCTGCCTTTGCTCTTCAGACCTACGAGCAGAGGAAGATCGTGGAGTTCACCTGCCACACAGCCTTCTTCGTCAGCATCGTGGTGGTGCAGTGGGCCGACTTGGTCATCTGTAAGACCAGGAGGAACTCTGTCTTCCAGCAGGGCATGAAGTGAGTCCTTGCTGCACTCTGGCAGCTGCTTCGCAGGGAGCAGCGTGTCATGGTTGGGGTCTTCTCACCTGGGCTTGGCTTCGAGGGTGGGTCAGTGAGCACAGAGCGGGCTTCATCTAACCCGTAGCAGCAGAAAACAAACTCCTGTCGGCGGGTTTTTAAGCTTCCTCCCTCCTTGCTTCCAGGAACAAGATCTTAATTTTCGGCCTCTTCGAGGAGACGGCCCTGGCTGCCTTCCTGTCCTACTGCCCCGGCATGGGCGTCGCCCTGAGGATGTACCCCCTCAAGTAAGTCCTCCCGTCCCCTGCCAGCGCCCGTAAGCGCGGCTCGCCTTGTGGCCTGTGTCGGCGGCTGTTGTACACAGCACCCAGACGTTCTGGAAATCAGACTTCCCCCAGATTGCAAAGGTGGACAGGCCGGTGCACTCAGCCTCTGGGGCTGCTGGGCGCCATGGCACTGCTGCATGGGGCACTCTGTCCTTGTAATGCCCAGTCCAGTTGTTTTCCTGGGTCAGCTTGGGTGTGCTGGAGTGTGGGGACCCAGCTCTCGTGTGCGACTTGTGTGTCATGACATGACCCCTACCTGCCGGGCCTCGGCATCTTCTGCCACCCAAGCAGATGGTTCGGGAGCAGGCAGATGTCTTGCCCGTTTCACGGTTGATGGTGGGTAGAGGGCTCAAAGCCAGCGCCGCCCGCCTTCCCCGGACTGGCCTTGACCACAGCTGCGGTGGCCCCGGTGTGGGTGGACGTGGACTTGCGCACCTGGCCGGGGGCACCGCAACCTCGAGCTGCTTTTTCCAGCAGTGCGCTTGGGGCCCTGCTAGCTGGTCGAGGTTGAGTACCTGGAGCCTGAGTAAGATGGGCCAGTCCACCGTGTTCGGGCCTGCTCCCCTGCCCTGTTCCCCTGGGACTTAGCCTGTGATCTGGCCCTGCTGGCCTGGGTGGTCACACCCCGTCTTTGGCAAGACTTACGTCTGCTGCCCACTAGATTCCGTTGGCTTTGTACCTTTAGCCCGCTGCTCAGAGCTGGCACCCCAAAGGGGCAAGCTGTATCCGAATTAGTCTGTGAGCGTGGGCCCAGGCCCAGCAGGAGCTGGGAGGAGCCTCGAAGCCTTCAAAAGGCCAAAATGCAAAGTGACACCAGGGTGGGGGCCTCGGGTATCTTGCTGTGACCAGAGACCTCCTGGCGTGGAAGGTGGCTTAGTCCCGTAGTGGCTGCATCAAAGGAGGAAGTCTCTCTGCAGCCGAGGGGAGCACTGGCAGGAAGGGGTGCAGAGCTGCCCGCGCCCTGCTCTGGAAGCTGGGAGTCAAGGCTCAGCCTCTCTCGGGCCCTGTCTCCAGGCTGGGGACAGGGGTGCGGCCCCTGGGTGCCCAGAGGCCTCTGATCTGGGAGGACTCAGCTTTCTTCGTGCCCAGGTTGGGGGCTCCGGGCCTACCACAGCCTCCCAGGTTCCACTGCCTGAGTGCAGTTTGGGGGTGGAGTAACCAGTTTTGGCCACCCCAGTCCAACTGTCATATATCAGACACACCGGCTTCTCAGGCGCTTTAGAAAACTTCCCTGGGAACCAGTTCTCAGGAAAACCAGGCTCTAGCCAGTCTGCGGCCTGACCCCGAGCCTGTCTCGAGCCCCGTGTGTGTGTGTGTTCTGCGCCGACTGGGCACAGCGCCTCCTTGCTTGGTCCCTGGGGTGCCGGGCAGTTCCTTCCCGGGAGCCCGTCACGTGTCCTCAGCCCGCGCCCAATTCTGTTCCCAGGCCTACCTGGTGGTTCTGTGCCTTCCCCTACTCTCTCCTCATCTTCGTGTATGACGAAGTCAGAAAGCTGATCATCAGGCGGCGGCCTGGAGGTAAGCGCGGGCCGGGCTCCCTGGGGCCAGGCCCGTGTCCGCCGTGGGCCTCCTGCGGCACCTGGGACTTTGACCTGGGGGCTGGGGCCGGGAGGGCATTTTAGGTTGTGCCCAGGAAACATGGACAGTGCAGTGGCAGCCGGGGCAGAAACAGGCGCCATGTGCAGCTGGCCCGTTCCTAAAGACGCGGTCACGAGCCCGGCAGCGGGCCCCGGACTGGGTGGGAACCCCCTCGCACCCCACCCCGCCCCACGGCTCTGTATCCTGGGGTCTGTCCAGGGCTCGCCCTCTGCCCACTCCCGGCGGCCGCTAAGCTCTGTCCCTCCCCCCGCAGGCTGGGTGGAGAAGGAGACCTACTACTAGGCGCTGGCCCGGCTCGCTGGAGCACCCCGCCTCTGCACCCGCCCCCCGCCCCTCCAGTACTTCAGCCCCGGAGTTCGCAGACTCCGCCCCGGTAGGACAGCACCAAAGCATGTGGGAAGCGAGACGTCCTGGAATGAAGCATGTGGCCACGGGGGGAGGGGGGTGCCTGAAACATCGTCTGTGGGAACGACAGTGGGAAGGTTTTTACGTGCCTTTTTGTTTTTGTAAAAAGGATACCCTGGAGAGACCGAAAGAATACATTTTATATCTGGATTTTTACAAATAAAGATGGCTATTATAACTGACTTTGTCTTGTGCCCTCCTCACTTGCGGGGTCCCGGGGTGCGTGTGGCTGGTCTGTGGCTCCGGTTTCCAGCGGGAGAATTGCTGGGCCAGGGCTTGACTCGTTCACCTGGGGAGCCCAGGCCAGACCCACCATACCAAAGCCAGGGCTGCCTGGTCGGTAAGTCCCCGGGGGCCCCGGCGCCGGTCAGGGCTGATGCCGCGGAAGGGAGGGACTGGTGGCCCGGCCACTTTGCGGGGGGCTGCTGAGCGCGTGTGACCATAGGCCCACCTGCTTTCTTAGTGCCTGCTGCCCACCGAGTGGAAGGAGTGGCGCAGCAGGGTGCAGTCTCGCAGAGACTCTCCACCCTCGCCATCCGTCGCGGCCTCCAGTGTCCAGGCCTGCGGTCGCCGGGGCGCCCGTGCCCAGCACCCAAGGCTTCCCTTCCCTTCCACAAACCCTGCTCCTAATTTAGCATCAAGTTGTTCCAGCTCAGAACACGGTTCTGTGCCAGGAGGCTCTCAAGAGGTGAAAGCGATCTGTTTACTTCGGGGTCAAGTCTGAGACACCCCCTGCTCTCCAGTCCGCGCAGAGCTCTCCACCTCTCCGCTGAGCCTCACCGGCAGTCCGTCTGCGGCAGACTCCACACTGCGTGAGTCGGGAGCCCTAGCGTGGCAGCGAGCCGTGACCGCGTCTGCAGCGTGCAGCCTGGCTTCTGAGCACCACCCGTGGCTGTGCCTCTTGCGTGCTGCTCGCTCACACGCAGCGCGATGAAAAAGCCGGACGGCCCCCACCTGGGGTCGTGCCCGGCCCCTGCAGCCGGAGGGCCCGTCTGGGGCTCCGTCTAACCTCCCGGTTCTGCTTTCCTTGGGGCACTTTTCCCGGGAACGATTTCTGCCTGTAGACGGGTCATCTTTGAAGAAGGCCGTGTGTGTGTTGAGGCCGGCATAAGAAAACGAGCATGAAGCTAAAGAACTGATGGAGCTCTGGTGGAGGGCTGAGCCCCCATCGCGGGTCCCCTGGAACTCCCCGCACTGCCTGACCCTGCGTGGTGACTGGAGGCTGCGACACCCCTGCCGGCGCTTAAACTGGCACAGCCTTCGAGACTGAGTGTCCTCAGCCCTCTCCCTGGTGTCTGCTCTCACCCCCGCGAGGTGGCCAGTGAAGCGCACTGCAGTGGAGGTCACCGGTACCCCGACAGCAGGCTCTGGCAGCCAGCTCCGGTGGCTCCCACCCAGGGCTTCTCCGTCTGCTAAGCAGCCCTCGAGGGACATGGCAGGGAGGTGGGTGGGCCAGGCCCAGGGACCCTCCAAGCTCATCAGCACTCCAAGCCTCCCTTCTCATCAGCACGTTTTGGTCTCATTGGACAATCCTCTAAAAGCTTTACTAGTGGTGGGCCCTCCCTGGTGGCGCAGCGGGTTAAAGCACAGCATTGAGAATCTAAAGCCGCTTGCGCATGAGTTCGATTCCCGCCTGCCCCGGAGGTGACCACATGGCGTGGCAGACCTCTCCTGACCCGCCCGCTGCTCCCCTCAGCAGTGTACTTCGTCTGTCTGCCTGTTCTGTACCCCACTCTGTCTCTGGTGAAGCCTCTCACCGCCCCTGAGCCTCTGGCCTGTACCCCAGTTCTGTATGTACAAATAAATCTTTAAAAAAAAAAATAAATAAAGCTTTACCAGTGGTGCGGGTTGAATGAATGAATGCTCCAGTAACGAGGCATCATTACCAGACTTTTCTTCTGCCCGAGCAGCCATATTTTTAATATTTTGCTTGGGTCTGTTGCTTGGATCAGGGAAATCCATGCAATAGAGGCTTGCCAATAAAGGCCTCTTGCTCTTAAGACACTGAAGTTGGAAATCGATGTACAAACAAGTCATGCATGGAATTAGGATACCAGGAGTGAGTGGAGACCATAGCAATGGATGGTGAAGGAGCTGAGCTCCACAGGGACATGGAGAAGCACAGGACACAAGTCCTTCAACACAGCTGGCTCTACAATTTTTGAATTCCTGCCCTAAGCCTCAAAGGACGCGAGAAACCTCCCCAGCCCTTCCCTCACCCAACTAGATTGGCGTCTCCAGTTAGTTGATTAGGACTCTACAGAACTCATAGTTCTAGTTCTTACTCAGGCATGTACTTGGTAATGACCCTTTCCCCTGCCAACCTGAACACTGTCAGGCCAGGAGTTTGCTCTTTTCCACTAACCCTGCTGCCTATCCAGCGCCCTAACTACGAGGCCCTCGTACAGTGACCGATATTCCCTGTCCGGGGCAGGTGCCCACCCAAGATGGTGACGTAGGAAGATTTTAACTCGACTTTCCCCATGGACACACTGAGTCGACAATTATATCTGAAACAACTCTGAGGAAAAGCAGGGAACAACTAGTGAGTGAAGGCAACGACTCAGGCAGATGGGGAGAACCAGATGGAGCTGCTGGGAGAGGCTGACACCATCTTGCCACAAACCCCACCTCCAGCAAGTCCACCACGGTCAGAAGGCTTGACCCCTGCCCATCAGCATGCCGGCTTTAAGATCTGCGACAAGCCCCCCGAAAATACCTAGTTTTCGAATTAACAGGGCTCACATCCACAGCGCTCCTGAGGCCAGTTCACTGAAAAAGGGCTCTTGGCCTCTGACTCACACATTCTGGGCCCAGCACAGAGGCAGTGTGGAAGTCGCCTTGACTTCATATAAGAGAAGTATGTTTGCGTCTCATAAAGCATGTAAGTCACACAAATCAAGGGGCCTGCTGGGAAGCTTTTCCAGCAGGAAGGCAGTGAAAAGAGACAATGCACACTCCCTCTTCCTTCCCAGCTTGCTGTGATCTCCCGAAAGGGCCTTGTGCTCATGCGGCGCCCCGACTTTTACAGCTCTGCCCAGGGACACCTAGCTTACCTGGCTCTGATAGCTAGTAGGGTTTCTTCTTGAGAGTCCCACAGGATTGCACCAGAGAAAGGGACTTGAACACCCCGCTTGCATCAGTGTGTAGGTAGTTCAGGCAGAAAATAAGAAATAAGCACTGGCCGAAACTTATTAGGCCAGATGGACTTAACAAATATTAAGACTAGTCCATCCAAAGGCAACAGACTACACATACTCAAAAAGAACAAAGAAGTTTTCTTTTTTCAGGATAGATCATATGTTAGGCCACAGATTGAGTCCTAGTATATTTAAGAAGATGGAAATCATAACAAGCATTTTTCTAGCCACAATGAAAAAAAAAATCAGTTACAAAAAGAAGCCATAAAACTCCCAGATATGTAAAGAGCAAAGAACAAACTACTAAATAGCAAAAGTCAAATAAAAAATACCTTGAGATAAATGAAAATGAAAATCCAAAATACCAAAGTTATAGGGTGTAGCAAAAAACTTCTAAGAAGGAAGTTCATGGTAATTAATTCCAACCTGATGAAATAAGAAAAATTCCAAATAAACAATCCAGGTTTACCCCCACCCCCCACCCCATGGAACCAGAAGGAAAGAAAATCAAGCCCAAATTTAGTAAAAGGAAGGAAATACAGACTAGAACAGTAATAAATAAAAGACTAAAAGAGACAATTGAAAAGATTGTGAAACAAAGAGTTGGTTCTTTCAAAAGATTTGTTTTAAAAGAGCCAAACCTTTAGCCAGAAAGATGAAAGAAATGAAAAATCAGACATGAAAAAAAATGTTATAATTGAAACCACAGAAATGCAAAGGATCAGAAGAGACTACTATGAATATTATCAACAAATTTGACAGCCTTAAAGAAATTAATAAATACATAGAAACATACAACCTACCAAGACTTTATCAGGAAGAAACAGAAAATCTGAAAAGACTAATTATTAGTAAGGAGAATGGATCAGTAATCAAAAACCTTCCACCAAACAAAAGTCCTCAAACAAGTGACTTCCCTGGTGAATTCTAGCAAACATTTGAAAACAGGTGAATACCAATCCTTCTCAAATGCCTCCAAAAAATACAAGAGAAGGGGATACTTACAAGTGCATTTTATGAAGCATCATTATCCCCAATTACAAAACCAGGCAAGGACACCACAAGAAAAGGAAATTATAGGACAGGATCCCTCATGAACATAGATGCAAAACCCCTCAATAAAATATTAGCCCGTCAATTTCATTAATACAATAAAAGGCTCAAACACCATATTCAAGTGGGATATAGTTATGTCAGGGATGAAAATTTGGTTCAACTTCTACAAATCATTAAATGTAATAAATGAAAAATAAAAATCATATGATCATCCCAGCAGGTGCAGAAAAAGCATTTGACAAAACTCACCATTCATTTATGGTAAAAACTTTCAGCAAAGTAGGTGAAGAGGGGCTGTGTCTCAATATAACAAAGTCCATATATGACAAGTTCACAGATATCATTTTCTGATGAAAAGCTAAAAGCTTTTCTTCTAAGATCAGAAGTAAGAGAATCATGCCCACACTCTCACCACTTTTATTCAACATTGAAAGTTCTAGCCAGAGCAATTAGGCAAGACAAAGAAATATAAACGAAGTAAATTGCAAGATACAAAATCAATATACAAAAATCTGTCTTGCTTCTATCCATTAATAATAAAACCTCAAAGAGAAATTAAGAAAGCAGGGCCCTCCCTGGTGGCGCAGCTGGTTCAAGCACAGCACTATGGAGCTAGCCCCAGCCACTTCAACTGGAGTTCAATCCCCTACCAGGGTGGCACGTCAGACCTCTCCTGTCTCCCTGCTGCTCCCCTTAGCAGTATACTTCTGCTCCCCACAGTGTCTCTGGTGGATCCTCTCACCACCCCTGCACCTCTGGACTGTACTCCAGTTCTGTGTGCATAAATCAATAAATTCTTTTTAAAAAATCTTATACAATATCGTTAATAATAAAATGCCTAAGGATAATTTGACCCAGGAGGTAACAGACCTGTAGATGGAAAACTAAAAACTTAATGAAAGAAATTGAAGATAACACAAATGGAACAATATTCCACACTTTCAGATTGAAAAAATTGATATCCTTAAAATGTCTACAATAACCTA